GAGGGCTCCCAGGCTGCCAGAGGGATGTCTGACTGCCAGCTTAGGCCTGATCCCCCAGGGAGCGGGCCTAAGCCAGCAGGTGGTCATCCCCCGAGGGGTCCCAGACTGCGAGAGGGCACAGGCTGGGCTGAGGGATTCCCCTCCCCCCACGAGTGCACAAATTTTTGTGCACCGAGCCTCTAGTATATATATATATTTTTAAAAAAGAACACAATCTTAAAAAAAAAAAGAATGCACTATCAATGTCTACTTCTAGTCTTTCTCCTACTGTAATTACCACTGTTGTTAATTCTCGTCCAACCCATTCCAGGCCAAAGTCTGCAGACTTATGACTAAAAAAAATACCAACTTTCATTTGTGTCCCACGTATTCACTCCGAAACGATAGCTAGGCAACGATGAGACTGTACTGTTATTGAGTTGTAGCTGTTGCCAGCTGAAGTACCTAGCTGGAGCCCCACTCTTTGTCTGTTAAAAGTGGTGTTAGAGGGGCGTTAACGATGGGTTAGCACAAAACTGAGACTTTCTCCTTAGCAGCAGCAGAGGGATTCATAAACATTAAAAGGAGAATAACTTTTCACGATGTGGTTCAATGTTGTCTCACACCAGTTCCAGCCACCCGGATTCATTGGTCCCATCACTGGACCGAATCCCAAGCGATGGCTTGTGCTGGCATGGGAGTCGCACTGTGGGTCCAACCCATTGCTCATAGCCCTTCTCCGGTCCACATCCTGCTCCTGGAACTCCGCCCCCTCGGCTGGAACCCCTCTCTGCTGTCATGCTTCCAAATTCAAGCCCTGACTCAAATCCGCTTTCTCCACATAACATCCCCTGACCCATCTGGCTCCCAAGGCCTCTACCTGAGCCAATTGAGGTCTGACTGTCCGCACAGGACAACACTGCCTTTAACCCTGCAGCGATGGTGCAATGCACCTGGCGGTGAGTCCAGGTTGGGGGCGGCTGAAAGTGAAAGTCACAAAGAACCACAGGCATTCTTAAAAATCTCTTAGCAAAGGCGCCATACTGGGGAATCAACACAGGGTAAGTCAATCCATCCGTTTTCCCTCCAGCAGTAGAACACATAGCCGTTCCTTTGGTTGAGCACCAGTTACAGGGTGTTTGTGTAATATATATATTTAAACAGTGTGTTTAGAAACAGCAGAGTCACAAACAGTGGGATGAGACACAGTGTGCAGGCACCGAGACCAACAGCGGAAATAGAACACATTTATCTCTCTCTCAGACCCCACCTCTCCTAAGCCTAATCGTAATCAGTGGCAGGTTGAAAACCCCGCGCTGTTTAAGTTACCCTCTCTCCTCCCTCCTGTTACCTTGCTTGCCTTTCTTTCCTACCTTTAGATGATTTCTATACATAAGCATACATGCTCTTATGTATGTGTTCAGATGTGTGGTTTTAAAACGTATTAAAAAAAAGAGTCAGCTGAATATTTTCTTTAATAGAAGATGTCATGAAGACTCCCCAAAGTGCAGGTGCACTGCCTGGTCTGTGACACCCCCCGCCCCGGCCCCATAGTCACGGCATCATTTGAAAACTACCAGAACAGCCCACAAGCTCCGTGAGGCTGAGATCTCAACCAAGCCCTCCTTTAACGCTCAGGATGTGCCGGATTTTCTCTGAAGGGGGAGGTCTTTTAGTCAAAAGATATACAGTTGAGCCTTGAACAATGCAGGGTTCAGGGACAGTGACCCCCTCCAATGCAGCTGAAAATCCACAGTTAACTTTTGACTTCCCCCCAAACTTAGCCTACCGTTACTGGAAGCCTTACCGATAACATAAATAGCCAGTTAACACATTTTTGTAGGTTACATGTATGATATACTGTATTCTTTTAAAAAAATATTTTTATTCATTTCAGAGAGGAAGGGAGAGGGAGAGAGAGATAGAAACATCAATGATGAGAGAGAATCATTGATCGGCTGCCTCCTGCACGCTCCCTACTGGGGATGGAGCCAACCACCCAGGCATGTGTCCTGAGTGGGAATCGAACCATGACCTCCTGGTTCATAGATGAGCACTCAACCCCTGAGCCACACTGGCTGGGCTACATACTGTATTCTTACAAATACAGTTAGCTAGAGAAGAGCAAATGTGATTATGAAAATTAAAAGAGAAAATACATTTACTGCATTTCTTGAAAAAAATCTGCATCTAAGTGGGCCTGTGCAGTGAAACCCGTACTGGTTCAACGGTCAACTGTACTACCCTCCTCATGCAGGCCCGGGGCGCAGCTTACAGGCCTTCCCCGACGGTAGGCTCAGCTGGCAAGCACTTTCCTTCTCAAGGAAGGGACACATGCAAGGAAACCCGTGCTTCATGCCAACAGGCCACTTTGGGGATGAGCTCAGTGCAGCCCAGATGCTTAAGGGAATATCCCTGCAGCAGCTTTGAGATGGGCTGGTCCCCAGGAGCTGGGAACAGATGCCAGGGAAGGACTGAGTGGGCAGGACGAACAAGTATAACCGCCCATCTGCGGGGCCCCAGCTGCTCCCTTCCAGCTGCTCCTTCCCAGCTGCAACCTGCCAGGTGAAAGCCACCAGCCCACACAGGTGCCTTCCGCCTTGGCCTGCTCCTGGTGGCTTTGTTCTTCATACGGGGCAAGAGGAGCTAGCTTGGTGGAACCTGACAGAGTCGTCCCCACAGCAGTGGGAAGACACATGAATTGCCTTTCCAACCAAAGGGGGATTCTCAGGGTGCCCCAGACAAGAGCAGGAGCCGGTAGAAGCAGGTCACCACAAACAATGGGATTTTCCTACTCCTGGGAATGAGAAACATCCCTTCCTGCCCGCTCCATGGTGACACGGAATGGTGGGTTAAAAGTGATTTTGGCTGCTGTAGCTTTGGAAACCACTTGGAATTCTATTTTTCCCAGAAGAGAAGGGATATGGCGGTGGAACAAGGATGCCAGGCCACCGCTCCCAGCCTGGTGCATCTCCCCGAGAGGTGGCGGGGAGGATTTCCCTGGCGTTTGAGCCAACTCCAGACCCAAGGGTCAGCACTGGGTGGGACTCCCCTTCCCCAGGCTGTCAGCTCACCTGAGGTTCCCTTTGTTGGTGGCATACTTGATGTGGTTGCAAATGTAGTTGAACATCCCATGAGCGGTGGTGCAGTCGCGGGCATCAAACACCTGGAAGAGGTGCATTGTGGGATGGATAGCCTCCTCCTTCCCTCCTCAGCTCCCCCAGGCAGCCTTCCCATTGGAGGAGGGCCCAGAGCCCACTCCAGCTGCTACCCCATTGGAGTAGTGAGCACCTCACCACCCATCAAACCAGAAAAATCCCCTAAAAGGAGGCATGGAGTGTAAGTGATTTGGGAAAGGGATGGTGAGGAGAGGAGAGACTTTTAGTCGGCTGGTTATATTTCCTGTTAGGTTATTAGGGATCAAAAACAAAACAAACAAACAAACAAAACAAAGAAGAAACGCCTGAGCTCGAAAACTAATCTACTGCCAACTTGAAACTATTCCCCAGAGAAAAGTCATACCAAGGGACACAGAATCTGATGTTTTTGGTGAGCAGGCAGATAACATCAATAAGCAAAGAGAGTAGGTGCAAGACAAAAGGGAGCAGTGGGGTCTGTGGTCAACTGGAGTGCATAAGCCTTAACAAGAGATACGCAAATTCATTTTAAACACTGTGTTGGCTATCGTCATGAGACATGATAGATTTGGCCATGATCTGAGAATCTGGGACCCCATGACGACCATCTGGTGGTACTTCACCTTGGCCTCCAGCTGAGCCCTTTTAAAGCTCACCCCTGCACCTACCACCCTCTCCACTAAAGGGCTCCTCAAGGCAGCTAAGCCTCACCACCTACCTGCAGCTTGGACCACTGGATCCGGCCGACACAGCGGGAGGCATTCCTCCAGGCGTGCTTGGCCCCATAGATGAGCTCTGTGTCTTTGAGCTGGTAGGTGCTGGTGGTTTCAATCTCCTTGTTCACCTCTTCCAGCCTCTCCATGTGGGCTTTGGAGCCAAATCTGAGTAAGGAGGGGAGGGAGGGAGGAGCGTCACCGTCTCTCCAACGTTAGAGGTTGGTGAAAGGAGGGAGCTATGACAGGAGGCCAGAAGCCACAGAAAGTCAGAGTTGATTTCTGGACACAATAGTTCAAGCATAAAGTAGAGACTGCAAACTAAAGTGCCCACAAAGGTCCAGCAGTGACTGAACTGGCTGGGTGGGGTCCATGCCTGGCCCGAAGGGGACAGCCACCGCTCTGCTCCAGCCAGCTGTCATCCTGAGAGCAAGGGGGGGGGCGGCCCACGGCTGCAGATCTTTCAAAGAAACTGGAAATCTGAGTTTTAAAGAAAACTCTTCTCATTTTAAATGATGGCAGTGAATTAAATTTTAGAAAGTACAAAAAAATTATTATGAAAAATGTCAGACTTATGAAAAGGTATAGAGAATAATACAATGAACACCCACGCCCAAAGCCTAAGAATTAATAAATAAATAAGGACTAATATCAATCCTTGGGGACTACTTCCCCATAATGGCCCACCTTCTTCCCAGAAGTGACTGCTATTTTGCATGTGGCGTCTACATTCTCATGCTTTTGCTTACACTTCTGTCTACGTATACAGAGAGCCCCTGAATCATGTGCAGTATTGTTCTGCAAGTTTAAAATGTTTATATAAATGGTGATGACCCGAATGTACCCTTTTACACCTGTCCTTTCCTTCTTTCACTCCAAGTTATTTGTGAGCTTCATTCCCATGAGCAAACGGAGTGCTAACCCATTCATTTTTTCCAGCTGTATAGTATTTCATTACGGAAAATAGCGCATTTTATTTATAGATTCTCCTGTCGATGCTGTTGAGGTGGTTTCCAGTTGGCTCTTTAATTTTAATTTTTTCTCTATTCGAACAGTGTTTCGGTGAACATTTTTATGGATGCCTTCTGTGCAAAAGTGTGAGAGTTTCTTTAGGCTACATATCCAGCCATGGAATTGCTTGAAATGTTTCAAATGTAAGCAGCACTTTGCAGGCCAAACAGAAACATTTCTGGGGGCTAGATTTGGCTCTTGGGCCACCAAATTCCGACCTCTGTGTCTGTGAACTTGCCTTTTAATGGACGAGTAGTACTGATCAATGAACTCTTTGGCGAGAGGGAAGAGCTGCTCTTTAGTGCGGACGTCTTCAGGCCTCCGTATCTGCTGAGAAGGCTGCATGACGGAGCCCATACAGATGCGCTCGCTGCATCCCGTTTCCTGGATGGAAAAGAGAGATTTGGGCTATCACTCGGTTCTGCCCAGGGGTGGCAGGTACTGGGCTGCAGACCCGCATGGGATATCCATGGTGGTGCTGACCTGGCCTTTAATTCCCCAGGGGGGTGTCTCGAGCACCAGCTTCAAATCACTGTTGGATGTGGTCATCAGCCAAGGCAAGGGATGATAAGCAGCATTTTAAGGTTCTGAAAATGTTTGTTCAACTCAACAAGGGAAAGAGCGGCTGTGTGACTGGCCTTCCCTCGGTACTAACTCCCAAGGAGCCACCGTGGCTTATCTGAACACGTCTATGGTGCGTTGATTGCAGGAAATAGCCCGGACTGTTCCCCTCCCTCTAGTCACACCCCTTGCAATAGGACTTTATGGCCAAGCCCCATGAGAAGGGGGAGCCTCTTCCATCACCTCGTGAGCGGCCTGCAATACACTAGATGCCAGCAGCCTCTGAGGCTGTGACAACCAAAAGTGTCTTCCGATATTGCCAGGTACACAGGGCAGTCCCCACCACAGAGAAGTATCCGGTCCCAGATGTGGCCAGTGCTGAGGTGGATAGATCCCGGCTACACCCTCCTGAGCTACTCACCAACGTGCTCTTAAGGTGGAGGGTGTCCGTGAGAACCACGTCAGTCTCCCAGTTCTTGACCTTGAGGAAGCGGGGGCACTTGGAGGGGCTGCCGTTCTTTGGGGGGGACTGTCTTCCCGAGGCAGGGGCCTGAGGAGAGAATGAAGATGGGACGTCAGGCAGGAGGGCCCTGGAAAATGGTCTCTGCTGGGACGGAGCGGCACCGCTCCTCCCGGAATCTGCTCCAAGTTACCAGCTGTCTGCACAGAGAAGGGGTTGGACTCTCCCTGGCTGACATGTGAGAGGTGGCTGGGAGCCTGGTGCCTCCACCTTTGCAGAAGGAGGTGCCTCAGAAGAGCCTTTCGGGGTTCTGTTCTGGGAGGAGAGTCAGGAACCCAAAGGTGGTCAGGAGCCCCCTGGTGCCTAGCGCAGGGTTTGGCATTGAGCTGGGCCTCGATGAAAGTTTGCTGAATGAATACACGACTGAAAGGACACCATCAGTTTCTCTGAAGGATAAAGCCCTCCGGGCTGAGGAGTCAAACTGGAGGCTGGGTCAAGTTACTTTTCCGGGCCTTCCTGCTACAGCCCGAATTCACCATTTCCAGCAGGTGCTGGGGAAACAGAAGGTTTAAATTAGAAAGGTTTGCAGCATAGGACGTGTCCCCCAAATTTCAGGTTCCTGCCTCTCGAAGATAGATGCCCAGCATGTCCCTGTCCCGGGGCCTTTGCACTTCCTGTTCCCCGTCTTGAACACCTTCAGTTCTCCATTTGTCTTCACCTCTGCAATAAAACTGCCCAGTAGGTGAGGAAGGGTAAGTCCTGGGCCGGCCAATGTTGGCCCCTCCATTTCAGACACGTAAAAGGATCACATTCTGTCTTGGGCGTTTCTGAGCAGTTGTCTACCTGCCTGGGAGAGGTGTGCCCGTGCATTGACAAGCATCGGCCACTAGCAAGTGTAAGGGAGAGGCAACAGGCACGCCCTGATGCGGCAACTGAACAGGGGAGGGGAGGAGAAGAGGCGATGTTCAGTGACGTTTATGCCAAAGAGTAGAGCAATGGGCCGTGACCTTGAGGTAGGGCCCCTTCAATGTGCTAGGTGCTGCTAGGCACTGGGACACCAAAGAGTCAGACAGGCTCCTCGACCTGGAGCACTGTAGTGGGAGAATGGAGATAGTAAGTGAGTACACACACAGTATAATTTCAGGTGGTGTTAAGAGTATGAAATAGAAGGAGGTGATGACGACTAAGTGGAGGGGAGAAAGGCAAGTAAGTGCAAAGGTCCTGAGGTAGGGATGAGTACGCTAAATTCCAAGGACCAGCAAAGAGGCCAGTGTGCCTGGAGTATGTGCGTCATGGCGAGGACAAGGATATGAAGTCAGAAAGAAGGCAGGGTGCACGTTACATCAGCTTGGAGGACCTGAGTTGGGTGAAGGAGCTGTGAATTACCACTAGACGGGCTAGGTCCAGGACAGAGATCACAGAGAACTCTGAAAGACTACTACTGGAAACTACCATTCAATGAGCACTTAATATGCGCCAAGCAATAACCTTATCATCCCCATTTCACAGATGAGAAAAGTGAGGCAAAGAGTGGTTAACCAAGTTGTCCAAGATCACAGAGCTAGTAAGCCGGGGCCAGGAGTCAAATCCAGGCAGTATGACTCTCAAACCTTGCTCCTGTTTGACAATCCTGCTTCTTGGCCATTATGCATAATTCATTCATGAATTCATTCATCATTCATTCATTCAACACACAGTTATTGAGTGAGTATCACCTATGTGCCGGGCAAGGCAGCAAGGGCCAGGGCCACTGTGACAAACTAGACAGATGTGACCTCTGCCCCCATGGAGTTCACAGCCAGTGGGAGGGGCATCACTACTGAATGGGCCACTATAATTGAGAGCAATGGGTGCAGTAACATGGGGCAGTGAGAGTATACAGGGGCCTGTGCAAGCACATAGAAGAGGCATCTGACCCAGAGCATTTGGCTTCTAAGTAAGACCTGACGGACAAGTAGGTGTTAACCAGACAAAGAAGGGGGAGCAGCAGGGCCTGCAGGCAGAGAGAACAGCTGTGCAAAGGTCGTGAGGCGAGTGGCCTATCATAGCCACCTTTCTGGCCACTGGCCACTGGCCACCTCTGTGCTAAAGCATCCATGCCGTCACATTAGAGTGGGAAACAGGAGGCAGGTGAACCGATAGCTCCAGAACAGAGCAGGGAACGGTAGCAGAGAACCAATGGAAACTGCCGTGACTCATGAGCTCCCACTCCTCCCTGCCCTGGCCAGATCTGGTCATCCCCAGTGGTTCCCATCTCAGCGCCGGACACCACCATCCATCCATCCATCCATCTGCGCCAGCACAGGGGGGAGCTGTCCTGGGCATCATCCTCTTTATCTCCCATACTTACCCCACCCCCACTCCCACCCACTGTCGTTTTCTAAGTAGCTCTAGAGTCTATCCACTCCTCTGTCCAACCACCATCATCTCTCACTTGCATGACGGCGCTCACCTCCTAAGTGTTGGCCATTACTTACTACAATCGGCGTTGTTATTCTGCTAACACAATGCAACATCTGGCATTACGACTGTAACTACACTACTGCCCGGCTGGGAGCAGGAGAGGGATCTGGATGAGTTCTTCCCTTGTTCCCCTTTGGCACTTTCCATTCTGCCAAACTTTAAATTTTTTTACCTGCATCCCCGTGTGAAGCTACATACAAACAACCGCACTTCCTCTGAAGGCCTGGAAAGACTTGCTAATACTCCTCTAGGACTGTCTCCACTGCTGTCTCTTCCAGCAGATCAACAGGTGGTGGAAGTCACACCTGGACAAGCCTTTGTCGTGACAAAATCCTCTGATGGTGCCGACAACCGGCGCCCATGAGAAGAAGCGGTCCTCCCTTGCCCGTGTGGGAGGCACCTGGACATTCTCCCTAAACGTCAGGCGTCACTAGGCCAGTTTAGAAACTCTCTGAACCATCACATTAACGCCCCGGAGGCTGAGGAGCAGCTGGAATCCGGGGGGAGGAGGGAAAACAGAGGTGGTGCTGGTGTGGGGGTGGGACCCAGGACCCAGGGAGAGGGTGGGAGGGCAGATGGGTGGGAGCCCAGTAAGGCAGGAGGAAGAGATGTGGCAGGAGCACAGCTAACGGGACGAATAGAAGAGGCCATCTGTGGAGGTGCCAGATGTGTGAGGGGTGGTCATCAGGAGCCGAGTCATTGGGGCCCGAGTGTGGACGAAAGGGGCCACCACCCCGGGCTGTGCCGAGTGCACACTTGAAACTGGCAGCCTAGCAGACTCAGAGACCTAAAGTAACCACAAAGGATGGTCTGAAATTAAACTTTAACTAAAAGCAGTTATGGTGGGCAGTTATGTCCTAGGCCAGTATCTTCACTGACAAGATCAACTTTGATCCTTACTGAGCCCATTTGCCTTTTTGCCTCTAAGATAACATACCCTTGAAATGTCTGGGTAACTTGTAACTTCCCTTTTTCTGGAGCCCCTGGGGCACAACCAAATGTTCTGGGCGCCAGGACAGATACTACAAATTCCTTCATTATCATGTTAATTGATCCTGCACCCACCTAAGTATGTGTCCATCATTTTACTTTTTATCCTATCACAGAGGTTTCCC